GTTCCTACCACTTCTATTTATTAAACATGAAGGGTTGGGAGGAGGGTTATTCCTGTCCTCAGAGGCTTAAGTTCCTTTTCTCTCACCTGTGATTGGAGGTGTAGAGACGGGAAGGAAGGGACAGTTCACCAGTTTCTTCCAGAGAAGTTCTATGGTTACAGTTGAAATTGTTCTGTTCCCCAACCCTATCCCCTGGTTCTATACCTATCCAGGCCCTAAATTGGGAAAAATCACGATTATGTCTTAATTCTTTGTGAGTAGGTAAGAGAATGGTCATCAGTGATTGGCAGACCTGGTAGTGGAAGGATGTCCTTGGTTATTAGAGAGTCTTGAGTCTTCTCTGTCATCTTCCCTTCCCTCCCTTCCTCTTCCTCACGGACTCCGTGTCTCAGCAGCCAGTGTCCTCGGAGCCCTGGTTGCCAGGTTTGCTTTCTGAGGGCCTATTTATGCTCTTTTCTCCTCCAAGTTCTCTCCCTAAACCTCCATGCTCATGGACTCCTCTTCCTCTGGGTTTCCTTGGCTTGCTGTTGTAAGTTAGGCAGCCTCTTGCCCAAAGCCCTTCCATCTGGACTGGCTGAAGCAAACCCGCTGACTCACACCTGCACGCACAGCGCCTGGTGGCCAGAGTAGACGGAGAAAGGGAAGGGAATCCAGCCCCTCTTCCGGAGTGAGCCGTGTGAAAGCCCTCCAGCTCCCACCTGCGGACTCTTGGCCCAGGAATGCCATGTGGAGGTGCTGGCGTGGGGTGCCGCCCTGCAAGCACTGTCAAACGGCCTCTGCGCACTAGCCTGGTACCCCATGTCCCTCTGACTACCTGCCCCCCTTTCTCTCCTGCTGCTCTGCCCTCCCACACATAGTCTTTTCCTCACCCCGACCCCTGGGCTGACCAAAGTGTGCTTTCTACTGTGAGTCCCTATCCCAAGACCCTAGGGGAAGGAGAGAATGTGGTGTGAATGTAAAAATGCCACCTCTTTGAGACAGACCTTGTGGGTGAAGGAAGAGGCTGGTTTTCTTTTGTGCATTGCTCTGCTAGGATGGGGGCCCTTTACACACTATGTTGATGTTGGGGAGCCTGTCCTCTAGTATTCTGTCTGTAGCAGGAGCCAGGGCTGCCACCTCAGTTCTAGAACAAGGGGAGCCTGGTTGTGTCTGTTTTCCCCTTTTTCTTTTTCTTTTTTTGCCACATTGGCAGAAATGAGACCTAAGGGTCCTACCCTGTCCTGTATGTTTGAGTTCTTTCAATAGCAGTTGAGGCTGGTTGGGCAGGTTTAAGTCGAATTGTACTTTGCTCCATTGTTAATTGAGAAACTTTCAATAAAATATTATTTTCTACAGTTTTTGTGCTTTGGTTATTAAAACTTAATTTCCTGAATACAAATAATGGGTGTTTATTGTGGAAAAGTTGGAAGGTAGAAGTTTGAATAATAAATTAAAATTACTTTTAATACTATCACCAAAACATTAACATTTTGGACTTGGTTGAGCTCACGTATGTAAGTTCTTTTTCAAAAACAAAATGGGGGTTTTATTTTTCTCCTGACGTTATTTGAGCCACTTTTATTTTTTAGGTAACTTCCACTTTTAAAATGATAACCCCATTTAACAAATAAGAAATTAACAGTTCATAGAGGTTCAGTAATTTGTCCAGGGAATTAGAGGTGTTAAGTGCCTTGGCTAGGTTTGAACTTAATTCTGGCTGTTAGTTCTCACTGTTACTATGACCAGAACGTGTTGCTGGAGTTTCACCAGTGACAGCACAGTTGATTTGGACTGTCCTGCAGTGTGATTGAGCCTCTGACCAAAGGAAGATCACTCCAGTCATTACTTGCATGTCTAAGCAGGTGAGTAATGACTGAAAGTTACAGTTCTCTAAAGGGTGAACAGGTCAGACAAGTTTTGAACCTGGACTTTTTTTTTAAGTAGACTTTTTTAGGTTCACAGCAAAATTGAGCAGACAGTACAGAGAATTCGCATATACAGGGGTTGGCAAAAATAGGTTTACAGTTGTGAGCATGAAAGTTTGTTCTTGTATTATTTTTTATTATTTATCTTTTGGTAATGATGGCTGGTAATTTAACCTACTTTTGCCCACCCCTGTTCCCTCTGGCTCCCCTCACACAGCCTCCTCCGCTATCAACATTCCACACCAGAGTGGGGCATTGGTTAACAATTGGTAAACCTACATGTCACTATCACCCGAAGTCTGTAGTTTACGTTGGTGTTCACTCTTGGTATTGTACACTCATAGGGTTTAGACAAATGTATAATGACATGTATTCACTATTACATGTCATAGTTTCACTGTCCTAAAAATCCTCTGCTCTGCCTGTTCATCCCTCCCGCCCCTCTAACCCCTGGAAACCACAGATCCACTGTCTCCACAGTTTTGCCTTTTCCAGAATGTCATATACCTGGAGTTATATAGTATGCAGCCTTTTCAGACTAGCTTCTTTCACTTAGTCATATGCAATTAAGTTTCCTCCATTCTTTTTATGACATAGTAGCTCATTTCTTTTTAGCACTAATATTCCATTGTCTGGATTGACCCCAGTTTATCTACTCACCTACTGAAGGACATCTTGGTTGCTTTTCTAAGTTTCAGCAATTATGAGTAAAGCTTCTGTAAACATGTGTTCAGGTTTCAAGTTTTCAACTCATTAGGGTATGTAATTATACATATATACTTCTATTTATACACATATATTTAACATCATAAGCCTATCATTAACATTTCTTGAACATAAAAGTACCGAGCTTTGTAATAGCCATTATTTTTAAAGGGTTGATTTTGACCCTCTAGTTCCCATCCTCAGGTGGGCATTATGAACAACGCTGTGACACCCTGAGTAGGTGTACCAGAGTTTACTTAATCTTTGTTATTATTCACCTAGGGTGTTTCTGCTTTTAATGATTATAATAGGGGTTATCTTTGGGCACAGGTGGTTTTTCCAAGAGTTGTTTTCCCTTAGGTTACATTAGAAAGTAGAAATATTTAATGTAGTGGTTGTCAATAGGTGATTTTGCCAGGGGACATTTGGCAATCTCTGGAGAGGGAAAGCAGATGCTGGTATCTAGTGGATAGATATCAAGGATGCTGCTAACATCCTGCAATGTTCAGGACAGCCTCCCACCCCATCACAAAGAATTACCCAACCCAACACGTCAGTAGTGCTGATACTGAGGAACCTGATGTAAATTCTCAAGTGTTATCTTTTAATTCTTTGCTAATGTGTATAAGGAGCAGCATTGCTCATTGATTAAGAACATGGGTTTTGCAGCCCTACCCAGTTTGGCTCAGTGGATAGAGCATCAGCCTGCAGACTGAAGGGTCCTGTGTTCGATTGGTTCCTTGGTTCCAGCCAAGAGCACGTACCTCAGTTGTAGGCTCCATCCCCGGCCCTGGTCAGGGGCATGTGTGGGAGGCAACCAGTTGATGTGTCTCTTTCACATCAATGTTTCTCTCTTCTTTCCAAAACTCTTTCTAATGAGCAATGGAAAAAATATCTTTGAATGAGGACTTAAAAAAAAAAAAAGAGCCCAGCCGGGTGTGGCTCAGCAGTTGAGTGTCAACCTAGGATCCAGGTGATTCGGGGTTCAATTCCCAGTCAGGGCACATGCCCGGGTTGCGGGCTGCAGCCAATCAATGATTCTCTCATCATTGATGTTTCTATCTCTCTCCCTCTCCTTTCCTCTCTCTGAAATCAATAAAGATATATTAAAAAAAAAAAGAACATGGATTTTGTCTGGCCGGCGTGGCTCAGCAGTTGAGCATCCACCTAGGATCCAGGAGATCGCGGTTCAATTCCTGGTCAGGGCACATGCCCGGGCTGCGGGCTCGATTCCCAGCAGGGGGCGTGCAGGAGGCAGTGGATCAATGACTCTCATCATTGATGTTTCTATCTCTCCCTCTCCCTTCCTCTCTCTGAAATCAATAAAGATATATTTTAAAAGAAAAGAAAAAAAGAATATGGGTTTTGAGGTCCAACAAATTAGGAACTGGACAACAACCTACTCCAGGCTGTGTTCCTGAGTCAAGTCATTTCACTTCGATTTGTCTTATCTTTTTATAGGAAGACGAGACCCAACCTTGCATGATTTCCAAAACCAACACAGTATTAATACTTTAATTTTGCCAACCAGATAGGTAAAAAGTGATATCAATTTTCATTTATGATTGAGGTTGAACATCTAATGTACAAGCCACTTGTATTTCCTTTCTCTGTGGCCTACTGTTCCTTATTTTTTGTCAATTTTTCTATTCGGTTGTTGGTCTTTT